TTGGTCGGTTTCCGAAGAGAAGGCCTTTTACTTAAATATTGACCGTGTCGTCAATCGCGTTATACACACGCAAAACACACATAAAAAACTAAATTTTTAAGTTGTAAAATTTTACCGACATTAGCTTACAAAGTTTGATTTTTGTTTGACATTTTTGATTGCAAAGCGAAATTTTGGACCACTTCATCTTCTCACAAATTGTTTAGTTCCTGTTCAGGTATGTCAACCAATAAAATATGATGTACTAAATACCGTACAAAAGCCATCACTATAAGAAATTTTATTAATAATAAATAAAGTCTGTTTTATTCATTCTTGACATCATCAAGCTATCCTTGATGGAGCCGCTATAATAAAAAAAAACTTTGAACAACTTCACGGTATTACCATGGAAACCAATAGCCAGTGTTTTGACCTGTAATTCCTATACTTTCAAGTTTTTTTATTAAACCGTTATCAATTGCATTTAATGTCTCTTTCACAAACAGAGTGAGCATGATTTTGTGCTCAAATATATCATGATTGTTTATTGAAAAATCAATCTCCTTTTGTCAGTTAACACTTATCATGTCAGTTAAGAATTCTTGGATTATAAGATATCAGCTGGTCTATATCAAAATAGATAATATTAGGTTCTTACATATGATATTAGCGTTGATCTTGAATATTTTCTGTTTGTTTAAGAGTTACAAATTCAAATTAATAAATTCATTTAGCTGGTACATTTAAGTTTTAAAAAGCTCATTCATTTGTTTCTGCCTCTTCTTTTATTCTTTGGCGTCGCTTATTACCGCACAGTGGAAAATATGAAATATTGGTATTTTGTAGAAACAGCTCGAAGGATTAATAGCGTGTATTCGCTGGTATTACAAAAGAAAGCACGTTGCGTTTTTGGTTTGTGTGATAGGAGACACTACTTTTTACCAAGGTAAAGCATCTCATCCATGGGAAGATCCATGAATTAGAGAAGATTCATGGGAAGATGGCAATGAGCCTGGTGGGATTGGAAAGGATTCCTTTATTACGAACTTTTACCAAGTAATGAAACAATAAATCTGAATTGGATAAATTGAGGACAGCTATCGAAAAAAACACAACACAAATTTATTGCCGAAAAAGCGTTGCCGGTAAGATGTGCTGCGTCCAATTATCCTTTAAATTTGCCACGAACTTAAAGCCAAGACCAAAACATTTGCATACAAACAATTCATGAATGCAACATTCAATGCTGGCACACCCCAACTTCAAAATAATTCCATTTCCCACCAACAGATGTCGCAATTCAGAGACTGAATCGCGGTTACGAAATGTTCGCGAAAAGTATTAGGTCGCCGCCCGTTTTGAGTCATATCAGTCCTGTCCAATTTATGGCTCTTAAAGCCTAAGATCATCTATCAGGTCCTGTTAACTTTTTGAAAACGGCTTATACTAGCAAAGCTAGTTAGTTAGCCGTATATAACTAAATGCACTGTAAACCCTGTTTACAATGGGTTTATTTATTTTATATTTAATGACTTTACGCCCATGCCGTTTTTTAGGAAGTGTCAGAATTTTCCTATTTCTGGATAAAGCCATTTTATTGCCTCTACAGCGAATGATAATTTATAACAATTTAAGTTAAAAACGGATCCTAGAAGTAAATTTACTAAGTAATACTGAAATCATTATCAGTGTCTTTACTCAGTAGGGAGCGTGTGAACTGTGACACGTATAATTTTTTTTTCAAATTTTAGTGCACAATACAATATTTACAGTAACTTCATGCATAATTTCTTTAAGTTGACCGATCAATCGGTTATATTTGTTCTTAGGCTTCTAAGATAACCCACACTCGCCCTTATTTTTATTACGAGTCTTATATACTATTTAAATATTTGATGGTAATTATAATAATTTTACCCACGTACATGTTTATAACATTAATAAGGCGAATAGATTTCTTTACTCTAATTCCTTCCACTCGTACCCGTATTTTATGTGAACGTTACGCGCGTTTTACGCCAATAGATGTCGCGGGTGGAAAATTAAATCACGGTAGCGAAATCCTTTTGAAATATAAGGACGATCCGTGCCCGTCGTGGCTTGCCATTCCACTCCAAATCCAGTACCACTTTTACACCTTTTTTTTGGAAACGGTTTTTAGTAGCGGTGTTACTTAGCCGTACATACAAATTATAATGCCATGTTCATACCGCTTTCGACAGTTACATATCGGTTAACAGGTATTTGTCTTTCGTGTCCTATTATACGGAAAACGGACACTCCCATTTCACGTATAAAATTCACTTTAAAATATAGATTTACATAAAACAGGAAATGCTGTTTGTTGTCTTGAACAAGGCTGCAAATACATTTTATTGTTTCATTTTTGCGCTATTACATTCTATATTATGTTATAGCTCCCACAAAAAGTTCGTTACCGTAATTGAATTTCTCACTCGAAACATCTATTGGTGTGGAATGGAATTATTTTGAAGTCGTGGTGTGCCTTGAAGTGGGCAGTAATACATCGCGTCCCCGTTGTAGTTTACATGGTCACGTACTATACACTGTCTTACTGTACACGTGATTCATCAGTGATCTCATATATACATTAAGGGATTTTGCTGCTGTTATAAGCGTCGCGTTTTTAGCCTGAATTGACGTGAGTGGGTCGTTTCTTGGACTTCCACCGGCAATTTTCGGATTGACGAGATTCGGATGACGTTTGACGTAAAATTCTACATTATAATTAAAAAAATAGTAAAATTAATATTGGACTGCAGATGTTTCGATTAAAATAAGGTATTTGTAACTATTAATTTAATTTGGTAAAATTAACTGAACGCGTCAGTCAAAACATAAGGGCCATAAGGACTTCGAGTTGTTTTGGTTCTCTTTGTTTCCCACATGATGAACAGAGTGCGCTGAAGGTTTTCTTTATAGCGACATCAAATATTATTCCTGCTGTTCCTTTTTTCGACTAAATCAAGGTCGGCTCGTGTTATGTATTATAAAAGGGGTTTGAAGGATCGATCCTTTCTTTGCTTACCGGTTAGGGGAACTCGTATTATTACACCCCTTGCGTTCAATGTATTATGATATGATGTCGCGATTGAGGAACTAAATCGCGCTAACGAAATTTTTTGTGGGAGCTATAAGGGCACTGCCCGGGAGTAGTATGATTTACAGCTTTTAGCTTTTATCTAATATCAAAACAGAATTTTTGAAAACGGCTTATAATAGCAAAGCTATTTGTTGAGCCGTATATTATTTGCATTGCACTTAACCCTGATTGAAACGGGTCAACTCAAAACCCTCTGTGACGTTTTATAGGATAAAAAAATTACATAGTTTGAGTATTTTCTAATATTCACTGATGGACATTTAAAATAATGATTATTTAAAGTAAATTAATCTAATAAATCGATGTGGTGTCGTTTAAATTTTATTTTAATTGTATTACATGAACGTCAATGTTCTTTACATTTACCTAAAACGATTTTCGTGAAATTTAGTATGCAGGGGTTTCGGGAACGATAAACAGATCAGTGTTAGGCCGTCTCCTCAGCGTATACGTCCCAGTGGTGGCTTTCTTCCTGCCAAGCAAATCAGGTACCTTCCCAAACAGCTGTTTATCGAGAAAGCCGGTAGTTGAGGGTGCCGTGACGCCTGTCCTGACGTATGGCCGTTATGGTTCTTAGGCGGACATTGAGGTGTCCCAGTTTCTGCCCCCACTCGGCGATAGCGAGTGAGTGCAACCTTTGTCTACGCCCCCGCAAGTCCTACAAGACCAACAGGTCGCCTCGGGCCATTGCCTCCTCGCGCCAAAAGTGCAATGACGCAAGCATATCGGCTTCCAGGTCACAGGGAATGGAACAGTGCGCACGCCGTTTCACCGGAGATTGTCTGTTAGCCCCGTATGGCCCGTATAGACATCACGGTTTGTGCAGAAGCAAAATGGTCTGGCTATTTAGGGTATCGGCTCCGACAGGACCTCTCGGCGGCGATGTATAGACGACGACAGGAGTTTTAATAAGGCCGCCAACGTTCAGGAGCAGCCTTCGGAGAACTGTCACTGCTCTCGTCCTTTTGGAGCTCAGTGCTTGAAGAGAAGTAATTTACCTCATGGCCCAGTTTCTGAATGCGTCCCACCACGTGCACCACTCTCGCTGTGGCCAAAAATAACGGCCCGGTGAATATTGGCGCCGCGGGCGGTGGCAAGGATTTCATCCGCGTAACACAATATTATCTCGATACCTTTGTGTTAGGTGCAACGCAGTACACAATGATAACCATTGTTCCACAGGAGTTGCCTTAACCCTGACCCCTGTGTAACTCAAACGACACCTCTATAGTAAGGTGGATGTCTCGTCCTCAAAAGGTGGGTGGCCAGGCGACACCGCACCTTCACTACCGTGTGGTTCAGGTCCTCTCGGGAACAGTGACGTATGTGGCGAGGAGACGGCCCAAACAGCGCTGGAGGAGTGTCCATACTGGACGGAGCAGCACGACCTCTCTCTGCCTGCCGTGGTTCGTGCTGACAGCGAGAGGGCATGGGGCATCACATACTGCAAAAGCATTATCACCTAAACTGCTAAGACATTATCACCCGGAAGGAGGCGGAGGAGAAAATAAGGGAGCCAACTGCATCCCTGGATACCAGGGAACCAGGACGGAGGAAGTTGGACTACGCGCGCAACCTTCCATGATAGTGAGACCCTGAGCGTCTTTTTTACGTGGGAGAAATTCTTTGTGAATCTGGGAGTCCCAGTAAGTAACGGAAGTTTACCACCGTACGCATGTTTTCGCCGAATCTCGAATGAGGACAGACGGCGCAACCCACAGAAGCCATTGCTCCAGCACCCCCCTTCCACCATCCCCATCCTGAAAACTTGCCAGATCGGTGTGTCTTAGTTCAGAGGAATCATCAATTTCCCTTTATATGACAGACAGCTTCACGAATGCTTTTGAATTGTGAAGTATTAATAATTGTTTACAGCTCAGGCTTTTCCTTGACTATGCGGGCAAAGCCGTGGGTGACAGTTAGTATAAAGTAAAATGACAGTTGCTTTCTTATGTTGCTTACAGATGTTATGAACATATTCAAATAAAGCCTAATTAACTGTGCTGTTTTCGGTTATTATTTTATTAATATGGTCAGTGCATTGCAGTAGTAAATATAGGTTTCTTTAAAGGTCTCTTATAAATTTGGTATGTTTGCTCAGGAACTTTAATAATCTTGTGAACAGTCTAAAGTAAAAAGTATATACTTAAGCAACCTCATTAAATTTTTTTTGCAATCCCTAAAAAAACATTTTTCTCTCTTTCTTAGTGCAGAACTCATGTTCACGCGTGAACCGGAACGTCATCGCCGCACGCGCTGCGAGTCATGTCGGATAAAGCCGGCGGAGCGCGCACTGCTGTTCGGTCTAATTATTATGTTAAAGGGTCGTAATACATATATAACTATGAGCAATCCGTTACGTCTTATAATTAAATCCTACATAATGGTCCATTCATCGTCAAGAACCAGAAAATCAGCGATTAAGAGAAGATGACGAGGTGCGAAAAACAGTTGGCGGACCTCAAAATTGAAAGAAAAATGCTGATAGCCAAAAAATAGATATGTGCTGAATTTTCGACGCCGGCTTGGGATTACAGCAAAAATAAGCTTTTGGATGGAAATCAAACGTTATTGGTGAGTTCGTTCCAATTATTTTCCTAAAAATCCTTTTTTCATAACCGCCCTACAATCAATTTTACTTTCCTTTCTTATAAATAAACATTATTCCACTTTTATTTAAATGAGTGAGAGTGAGTAGTTAGTCATAACACTTTTGCTAATTCATCTATATACGTAAGTGATTACTTTATGTTGATAGGTACTGATTAAATCATAATAAGTACTCAAATCAAGTAGTAGTAGTCAATAAGTAGTAAAATCATCATAATATCTGCAGAGATCATATTCCTAGTGTCTCATCAGTTCCACTGTTGTCGCCGAATTACTCGGTCAAAATCGTTTATACTGTTAAGCTCTTCAAACTGCGTATCTGCAAATCTTCTTTTCTAGGTTTGTGTTATAAGCTCCAATTCGTCTATTATAAAGTTGAGATTAATATTTTTATTGTTTTAAAAACTGTAACTCATTTTATGTATCCTTAGTATAAATAATTAAAGAAATTTATTAGACTTTTCACAATTTCTGAGTTGCCAGGAAATAAAGCTAAGACCACATAATACAGGTTTCTGAATAAAAAAAAAACAATAAAACGTATTTGCAAACTTGTTCAAGTAAAAAAACATTAATTTCTAGTGTACGTTACGATGGGGTTGGCGTTTCTTTGTAGATAAAAGCCCATAAAAATTTTCTAGGATTGTGTTACTCCAATTCGTCTATTATGAAGTTGTGATTAATATTTTCATTATTTTAAAAACCATTATTCATTTTATTTATGCTTAGGTCAATAAATAATTAAAGAATTTATTTGACTTTTCACAATTTCTGAGTTGCCAGGAAATAAAGCTAAGACCACATAACACAGGTTTCTGAATAAATTAAATAACAAATGGAGACTAAGTGCTATGAAAGGAAAACTTATTGTATTTAGCAACCATTAAGCCAAATTTAATGATTCATCTATCCTGACAGACTTGTTTAAAATAGATTTAGAAGGTCGACTTTCAAAGCTTAAAGTTTTATGCGTTCAATACGATGAATTACAGACGGAGATTGAGACGAGGACCGACAAACCAGCGGGGGCATTCTGCGCGCGAGAGCAGTTTGAAGAGCATACTCTGCTGCCCAAGCACGGCAACTCCTGTCGACTAACGCCGGTGCAGCTAGCGCGCGTTTTCTCGACTGTGCAGGTGACTGATAGACTTAATATTGTTAGTTTACACAAAAACGGTTTACTCTGCTGCAATGATTAGGAGAGATCCATGAATCTCTCTTCATCCATCTAAACGAAAGTATCGACGACGTAAACATATTCCACTATTTGGCAGCATCATTCAAAGGAAGTGTATCTGAATTATGAGAAACCCCTACTTCATCAGTGGAAATTATCAATCGGTGTGGAGTTTGTAATGTAATCGGCACAACAATCATCGTCTTCTTGTAAATAATCATGTCCATGCTTTGTTCAGTGTCAATCTCGTTACAATAGAGTCTAGTCAATGCTTATGTCGTCTTATAGATATCACCAATAAAAATAGCCGTGAAAAACTAAACGAATCCAGACAGTGTCTGCTTCTTATTCATATGCTGTCTGCTAAACACGATTCAGTTACAAATAGACAATGGCAAGAGTATGTTAACATTAACAATGTCCCCCATCTTGTACCAGATCAACACGTTCGTCAGTAATAGGGTTGAATTACCGTTGAGAAACCATCGTGGAAAGCCATTCAAATCAATCAAAATTTAAAAGTTATATCGTAGTGGCAGCCTCGTACTGGCCATCGCAGTGTGGGACGACCCCCCACTAGATGGAGTGACGACCTGTGCAAATGTGCGGGAAGTCGATGGATGCAGGTGGCTCAGGATCGTACTTCGTGGCAGTCTATGGGGGAGGCCTATGTTCTGCAGTGGACTCAAACAGGCTGAAATGATGATCGTAGTAACGAATACAAATAATAATAATTCGATTAAAAAGTATACACATTAAAATCAAAATCAGAAATAAATTTATTCAAATAGACGCTTGCGCGCTCTTATGAATCGTCAAATTTTACATCAAAAATTATGTATATAGCTTTGTAAGGTACCATCTGCTTTAAAGCAGTTTCTGTTGAGAAGAGACCGGCAAGAAACTAAACAGTTTCTCTTTTTCAAAAGCATCAGTTTAAAATATAACATACAGGTATAATAGTCTTATTCTCGCCTACGTGAGTATCAACAGTATTAATTCCACACATTGGCGTCGTTGAGATATTCCACAATTTCCTGTCCTGTCCAATTATCCTGTCCACTGTGCTCAAATAACTATTTCCTCTTCTCATGGGAGCCATTTAGAAATTTGCCTATAGAAGCACAGATTCAAAAGGTTAGACTCAGGTGTCAATACATTTATTTTATTTCTTAACAATTACTTAGGCATAACGAAAAAAAAAATGTAAACTTTCCGATTGTAAGGTATGGTAATAATATGCACAATACTCTACTACATATCAAAATAACGTAGCTTATGAGTTATCAAGACCCTATGCCTGATAATCATGACAGTGTAGCTTTATCGACAACTATAAAAGAATATTGTTTTGCTTTCCACAGCTTTGGTGCACGTTATGAGTGACAACGACTAGCAGCATCATGCCTGAATTTTATTGGATAAAGCTAGCGCTTCCAGCTTTATTGTACAAGATCTTTGCTGTCGACTTGGCCAGACGCGCTATTGCACAAGCTCCACGGTAACGGTTATTTATAATCAGAGTTCTTACAAAATCAATTTTTTTTCTTTAAATAATGACTGTGGGATAGTGTGTGTGGATATACATAATATTACATGAAATAAAAGCCTTGCCATCTTCAAAGGTAGACCATAGCATTCCACTTCTTAAAGGAAGTCAATGCGCGGATCCTAGGTTTTATATTTCATCTGTTATTGATATTATAGCAGGAACTGAACTATTTTGGAATGTCTTAGGTCATTCCAATATTGATTTAGGCAAAGGGCAAATAAAACTAAATTAGGGTGGATTGTGTCAGGTCATATATTAGGCGTTCAAACTTCTACATCAACTAATAGTTGTAAGAATTTTACTTACATAATGCAGAAGCCAATCCCGACCTTACCCGATTATCGGAACTTGACACTGTCTCACCACTGTGTACCTTGTCGTCACAAGAGCGTACCTGTGAACAAAACTTCACTGAAACCACAAAACACTATAGCGAAGGCTGCTTTATTGTAATCATTCCCCTGAAACGGACCCCTGGCATTATAGGTGACCCATGTTGTACGGCCAAGGGTAAACTTCTTTCTTTAGAACAGCGTCTTATAAATAATAATCCAAAGTTAAAGGAAATGTTTGTAGATTTTCCTTCAGAATACATTTCACTTGACTGACATTTTTTTTAAAATGTAAACGATTTTACATATTTTCTTCCCCATCATGGTGTTGTGAGTAAAGTAAGCACCATCACAAAATTTCGTGTAGTTTTCGATGCATCTGCGGTTACAACATCAGGTAAGTCATATAATGACATTCAAATGACTGTTCATACTGGTCAAGATGATTTACTGTGTCTTTTCTTACGGTTGAGAAAATGTCTAGGCAGATTTTAGAAGAACCAAATCACCGTTCGCTTCAACAAATATTATAGCGTTTCTAGTGAAACAGAACCAATTTAAACGTATAGACTAAACACTATCACTTAAGGCACAGCATCAGTGCCGTTTCCAGATGATTGTGATATTGATACTGTAAGTACACGTATAAGTACATACTACTTTTCGCAAATAGTATGTACTTATACGTGTACTTATAATATAATCTCTTTGTCTATACCATTTCTATCTGGCTGCTTTTGGTATCATTAAAAAGTTTAAATATTAAAAAAGATAATTCCAAACTCACTGTTAGTGATTCTAATGCAGAAATTCGATACATTTTAAAATTTTATCATGCAACGCAAGCCGCGAAATTATGGATTTTTTGATATTTATGGACCTAGTGCAGTGTCTGTGAGAGTAGCACAAATTTGGTTTAAGCGTATCAATCCGGAAATTTTGATGTCAAAGATGCACCTCGCTCTGGGCTGTTACGGATAAAATGGATGCCATTTTTGAAAAAGTAGAGCAAGATCGGCATATAGTTTCAATGTAGCTGAAGAACTGGGAATTGACCACAAAACAGTTATGGCGCAATTGAAATAAGCTGGGTACACAAAAAAGCTCGATATTTGAGTGCCTCATGAGCTCACTGAAAGAAACATAATGAACCATGTACTCATTTGTGATTCTTTATTATGACGTAATGAAACCGAACCATTTTTGAAAAACCTTATAAATGGTGATGAAAAGTGGATCACGTACGACAAGAACGTGCAAATAAGGTAATGGTCAAATGCTGGTCTGGCTTAACACACTGGCAAAATCCGGGTTATAAGGTAATGCTGCGTGTATGGTGGGATTCGAAGGGCATTATTCATTATGAGCTGTCCGGGCAGGACCATCGATTCTGAACTCTACTCCGAACAACTGATGAGATTAAAGCAAGAATTTGAGAGAAAGCGGCCGAAATTAATCAACAGAAGGGGTGTGGTTTTCCATCATGATAACGCTAGACCTCACACATCTTTAGCCACTCAGCAAAAATTAAGAGAGATTGGCTGGGAGGTGTTAATGCATCCGCCGTATAGTCCTGACTTTGCACCTTCAGATTTCCACTTGTTTCGGTCTCTTCAGAATTCCTTAGGCATTGTCAGTTAACATCACGAGAGGACTGCCAAAACAAGCGGTTTTTTGATCAGAAGCCCCAGAATTTCTGTAGCAATGAGATCACGTCTCTACCTACACACTTTAGTTAAATGTAAATAAATTTTATTAAAAAAAGTTTTGAATTTTCATACAAAATGCGAAGAAACTTTTTCCCCAACCTATTATTATAGTCTACAAAGTTTCATTTGTGAGAATTCTTTAGTTTATGCCAGGGCGTAATAGGATACATTACATTCATTTACACCCTTTGGCTTAAAATTAAAATATGCAGGTTTCCTCATGTTGTTCTCCTTCACCGCCGAGCACGTGATAAGTCGAACTCGGGTTGCTCGAGTAAATTGAATTAAAGGCGTACGCCATCAGGGCTCTGTTAAATGCTGTACTGCTGCGCAAACAAATGATCGTTCTTCTCAAGCCAGATTTAATGGTGATTTCAGTACCGGATGTGCGGTGCGGCCTTCGCTCAGCAGCATGTTGGCTGTCCCTGAGGAAGATAAATTAACTCAACTAAATAATAATAGGGTACTGTAAATTTCTTTTTCATTCTTTACTTGCGCCAGCAAACGGTTCAATAATAATGTTTTTGGAACGAAGAAGTTCGGATTTTTGTTGCTAGGCGAATAAAAGTGTAAGATTTTTTACGAAGCTCTGGTATAAGGCAAGGTACGAGTTAATAGAGACACACCAACGACACACACAACCAAAACACTTTCTGTTGTAAAGCTAGATAAGAAGCAGGACGTCATAGTTTAATTCACGTAAATAACAGTTTAAACAATTAACTCGGATTACTTAGGGGGTTGTCCGCCGATGTTATGATAAAGCCTTTAAATGTACTGCCCACCCCAAGGCACACCCCGGCTTCGAACTAACTACATTCCCCACCAATAGATGTCGCGATTGAGGAATTAAATCGCGCTAACGAAATTTAACTCTAAACTCTCCGTGACGTTATACAGGAAAAATATCATAGTTTGAGTATTTTCTAATTCTTACTGATTTAAAATAAATTAAAGAAAGAAATTAAGGAAATTGAAAATAAATTAAGGAAATTTAAAATAATGAAAATTTAAAGTTATTCATCTACAAAATGGATATTAAAAGTAATTTTTGCATATCATATTTTTCCTACCACCTCTTCGTCTTTTTATTAATGGCTTGCTTTATGAGTTATTACAATTCCGCCAATGTCAAGTTGCTCTTAAGCTCCTTAATTTTATAATATTCAGAGTATAATTGTAATAGCCCATTAATGAAACAATAAAACGTATTTGCAAACTTGTTCAAGTAAAAAAACATTAATTTCTAGTATACGTTACGATGGGGTTGGCGTTTCTTTGTAGATAAAAGCCCATAAAAATTTTCTAGGATTGTGTTACTCCAATTCGTCTATTATGAAGTTGTGATTAATATTTTCATTATTTTAAAAACCATTATTCATTTTATTTATGCTTAGGTCAATTTATTAGACTTTTCACAATATCTGGGTTGCCAGGAAGTAAGGCTAGTGCTATTACACGGGCTTCTAAGAAAAATAAATTACAAAGGAAACTAAGTTATATAAAAGGAAAACTTACTGTATTTAGCAACCATTTAGACAAATTTATTGATTCAGCCTATTCTATTCAGCTATCCTGACAGTCCTGTTTAAAATTTATTTAGAGGGGTGACTTTAAAAATTTTATGCTTTAAAGTTCATTACAATGAATTGCAGACGGAGATTGAGACGATGACCAAAAAATCAGAGGAAGCATTCTCCGCGCCCGAGCACTTTGAATACCATGCTCTGCGAGCCCAAGCACGGCAACTCCTGTCGACTAACGCCGGTCCAGCAACCCCGCGTTTTCTCGAATGTGCAGGTGACTGACAGACTCAATAATAATATTGTTATTTTACCCAATCATGTCAAATTTTACATATATAGGTCCGTAAGGGACCGGTTCGGAAAGCAGTTTCTGTTGAGAAGAGACCGACAAGAAACTCAACAGTTGCTCTTTTTCAAAATTAATGTCAGTTTACAATATAACTAACACACCGGTATAATAGTCTTATCTAGCTTACGTTAGTATCAGCAGTATTAACTCCACACATTGGTGTCGTCGAGATATTCCGCAATGGTGTAATATGCTTTAACCATGAGTTGATTTTTGATTTTAAGTTTAAATTGATCAAGCGGCAGAATTAATATCAACCTTGCTCCATGAACGACCTATTTACTTTTTGTAGGCGAAACAATGGTGTATTAAGTTTGTCCTTATTTCTAGTCTTTAATTTATGTATGTCACTATTCTTTAGGTAATAATTAAGGTTATGACGAATATACAAAACATTACAATAAATGTGTTGAGAAGCAACAGTGAGTATATTAATCTCTTTAAAAGATCTCTGAGTGAACTCCGGGCTCCGATATTATAGATTGCTCGGACAGCTCTTTTTTGTAGAATAAATATAGAATTTTTATCGGATGCACTACCCCACAACAAAATACCGTATGCTAAAATAACTGTGAAAATAGCTGAAGTAAACAAGTCTGGCAGTGTCAACGTCTGTTAGCTGCCTAACTTTTCGCATCGCAAAAACAGCGGAGCTTAGCCTATTCGCAAGAGATGATACGTGGATACTTCAACGCAAAGCTAGGCAATAGGAAAGACGATGAGCTGAGAGTAGGTAGTTTTAGAATAGGGCAACGGAACCCAAGGGGGCAGCAGCTGGCTGACTTTATGGAGAAGGAGGGACTCTTTATGATGAACTCTTTCTTCAAAAAGCAGCCCCACAGAAAGTGGACCTGGATTATCCCCGATGGTTCTGTAAAAAACGAGATAGACTTCATTATGACGAACAAACGGCAAATATTCAATGATGTCTCTGTGATTACAAGGGTGAAGACCGGCAGTGATCACCGATTAGTGAGAGGCACATTGAATATTAACATTAGGCTGGAAAGATCTCGTCTGATGAAGTCCACATTCCGACCATCTCGTGCCCATATCCAGAACTCCAAAAGCTTTCAGCTCGAGCTACATAATCGTTTCCAATGCCTAGAAAATTGCAGCACGGTGGATGATATTGTTACGAGCTGGGGGTTCGGGATTGGATTGAAAACCGGTCGTTTAAATGTTTACTTTATTGTCGCCAACATAGAAGTGCACAATAAGCCTGTCAATAGCGTTCTAGTCCCTACAACTACCATCCGTGCGACGACTCTCCCGTTCCGCACCAATCTCACAGTGACACGACTGCCGGTGCGTTCCCTCTCGCACCCATCTCGACGTACGCGTCCACTGGTGCACGATCCACACGTTACCGCACCAACCCACCGCGTACGCCTTTACACTACTAATCACTTCGCGTCACTATTCACTACTATACTGTCCACTCACTATTACTACACTATTTTCGCTTTCCACTTTATTCTTCCTGTTTCTTCTTCCTCTTCCTTCTTCCTTGAGTTCCTCTACTGAACTGCCGTGTAAGGGGCTCTGAGCCCCTTTTATACTCGGAATTTCGTTCGTTTTTCAAATTAGTTCTGGAATTCGAAACTTCTTTCAAATTTATAATTATATTTTTAATAATTTAAAAGAACATTTTATACGTCATTCCAAATTTTCATCGACGGATCGTTGACATTTAAGATTTCAACCCCGTAATCGTAACAATATTAATGCAAAGCTCGTGGAAACTGTCCATGCCGCGGGCCTTAAATTTTATAAGGCCCGCCGCAAAAATAGTACCCAAAAACTCTCTGATCACACTCTCAACCTCTTGGGAAAAAGACGTGAGATGCGTGTTGTAGTCTTTAACTGACATGTCGGACTACAGGCGGCTTAATAGGCAGATCCCCAAATACATGCGGCGAGACTTACGCAACTTCAATACAGGTCGTATAGAGGGAGCTTTAGAGCGGAACCTAGGCTCAAAAGTCTTCGCCAGAGATCTGTCTATCGGACAAAGCCAACTGACTAAGTTGAAGACTGACAGCGGCGCTATCATCTCCAGTAGACCAGAGGTTTTGAGTGAGATAGAGAGGTTCTATGGACAGCTATACACATCGTCGTTGGAGCCACACACATGTGTGAGTAACGACCCAAGAGCAAAGCTTATCCAACACTATTCCGAAAATATCCCAGACGTCAGTCTGAGCGAGATTAGAATGGCTCTTGACCATCTTAAGAATGGCAAAGCATCGGGAGAGGACGGAATTACAGCTGAGCTTCTGAAAGCGGGTGGAGAACCGGTACTTGTAGTCCTTCAGAGGCTCTTTAATTCCGTCCTTCAGGGTGATACTACACCAGAGGCGTGGAGCAGAAGTGTGGTGGTGCTGTTCTTCAAGAAAGGCGATAACGCTCTCTTGAAGAACTATAGACCGATATCCCTTCTGAGCCGCGTCTATGTGCTGTTCTCAAGAGTCATCTTGAATCGACTCGCTTCCAGACAAGCCGGATTTCGAAAAGGCCAGGAAGACTAAAGTCTTCAACCAATGTGTGTTGCCAGTGATGACGTACGGAACCGAGACGTGGTCCTTCACTGCTGGCCGTATGAGGAAGCTCAAAATCGCTCAGCGAGCTATGGAGCGGGCTATGCTCGGTATTTCTCTGCGTGATAGAGTTCGTAACGAAGACATCCGCAGTAGAACCAAGGTAACCGACATAGCTCAGAGTATTAGCAAGCTGAAGTGGCAATGGGCCGGCCATATAGCTCGTAGAACCGATAACCGCTGGGTAAGAAAGGTTCTCGAGTGGCAGCCTCGTACTGGCCATCGCAGTGTGGGACGACCCCCCACTAGATGGAGTGACGACCTGTGCAAATGTGCGGGAAGTCGATGGATGCAGGTGGCTCAGGATCGTACTTCGTGGCAGTCTATGGGGGAGGCCTATGTTCAGCAGTGGACTCAAACAGGCTGAAATGATGGTACATGGGGACTCTACTGGAGCTTTGAATCTACTGTAATTCCCAGAAATACAGCAGACTCAACTGGATTAAAGGGTACTTTATTTAATACTAAACTAAAACTTTGCCGTCTTATACTGGGAAGGGTAAAAAGAATACATCTAGTTTTTTTTTGGAATTTAATACCATATTATTAATAGTAAACCAGTGGAAGATATGCGAAAGTGCACTATTCAACTCGTCATAATTTAATACATTTCGGTCAACCTTAAAAATTAACGATGTATCGTCAGCAAGTAGTACAACATCACACAACTCACTGGCATAAAAGGGGAGATCATTAATATATACTAAAAATAATAATGGGCCCAAGATTGATCCTTGTGGGACACCCATTTTCATAGGGGTCCCAGCGGAATTAACATCATTTATTGATACTTCTTGGATTCTATTACTAAGTTAAGAAGCAATGACTCCAATGGCAAATTGGCTGGTTACAGTTCAGGGATCTCTCCGAATTCATCAAAACGATAGTATCGATGACATAAATTACACTATTTGGGAGCATCATTAAAAGGAAGTGCATCCGAAATTATGGGAAACCTCTACTTGAACAATGGAAATTATCAATCGGTGTGGAGTTTGTAATGTAATCGGCACAACAATCATCGTCTTCTTGTAAATGATCTTGTCCATGCTTTGTTAAGTGTTAATCCCGTTACAAGAGAGTCTAGTAAATGCTTATGTCGTTTTATAGATATCATCAATAAAAATATCTGTGAAAAAATGAACGAATCAAGACAGTATTGGGACATTTCTTATTCATATGCTGTCTGCTAAACCCGATTCAGTTACAAATTGACAATGGAAAGAAAGTGTACATTATCAAAGTCCACACCTTGTCCAAGTTCAGCACGTTCATCAATTATAGGGTTGACCTTTTAGAAACCGTCAAGGAAAGCTTAACTGTCTTTGACGGTTTCAATGTAAATCTGAAAGTTATATCGTAGCAACAAATACAAATAATAATTAAATTTAAAAAAGTTACACATTATCTTGTCCTTTGTGCTCAAATAAGGATTTTCTCTTCAGATGTGAGGCATTTATAAATTTGCCTATTGAAACACGGATTCAAAAGGCTAGACTAAGGTGCGTCACAATTTTTACTTTCAAGGAAAAACGAAAAGAAATGCAAACTTTCCGATTGTAAGGTATGGTAAAAATAGGCACAATACTCTTATACATATCAAAACAACGTAGCCTATGATTTATCAAGATCCTATGCCTGATAATCATGACAGTGTAGCGTTATAATATTATATTGATATAATTAACCTGATAATATTGCAGTGTAGCAAATATAAAAGCACATTGTTTTGCTTTCCACAGCTTTGGTGCACGTTGTGAGTGACAGCGACCAGCAGCACCACGCCCGAATATTATTGGACAAAGGTAGCGCTTCCAACTTTATTGTACAAGATCTTTGATGTCGAGAGGGCTGGTCGCGCTATGGCACGAGCTCCACTAGCTGACTAATGAATGTGATAAAATAAGACGACCTATAGCTAGAAAAGAAGATTTGCAGACACGTGGTATGAAGAGCTTAACATTGATATACTATACGAATATGATCTATGCAGATATGATGATTTTAAGAGTACTTATTATAATCAGTACCTATAAACATAAAGTAATCACTTTAGTAAGTTTTTATGACTTAAATAAAAGTGGAATAATGATCGCCCCGTGGCCTCCGGGTGATAACGTCTTCGCAGTATGCGAGGACAGCACCCCACGCCCTCCCGCTGTCAACTATAGCACGAACCATGGCAGGTAGCGAGAGGTCGTGCCCCATGATAGCGCCTTCTCCCCGGCACATACGTCAGTCAGTGGTGGGTGCCCGCTGTGCCGAAACACCCGTTGCCCGAGAGGACCTGCTCGGTCCATATCTCCAGTCAAACAAATCTTCTGCGTGGGCATGAGGGAAGGGGGGTCAAAATCAAAATCATTTATTCAACGACATAAGAAACTTACATTTCATCTATCGATAGTCATATGTTTTTTTAAATCTACCACCGTTCGTAATGAGGTTCCTCTAGCGGAGAAGAAACAGGCGAAAGAAACTCTGTAGGTATCCTCTTTTTTGGAATTCATTTTTTTTTTCTTAAAAAAACATTAAAATATTATACAACTGATTTTTTTCCTCTTAGAAATAGCTTGGGAGCGATCAACTCATTCCCAGGGTTATTGTCATTACTGTATTCATTTGTATTATAATAACCCCTTTTATAAAGTTTTTCTTTAATAAATTTCTTAAACCTGTTAATAGGCAGGTTTTGCGCATTTACTGGGATTTTGTTGTAAAAGCGTAAACACCGCCCCATGAACGAGTTACTTACTCTATGGAGTCTAGTAACTGGCGTTACAAGGGTGTGGGTCGGACTGTCTGACCTCATTCAAGGTTCCAAGGTAACACGCGTGCGGTGGCAGGGCAGCTCCATAGTGGACATCTTGTTCAGCTCCATAGTGCCAGGGACACGGGAACACGTAGACGCAATCTTCCGCGACCCCCGGGTGGCTTTGGTTTTTTTATGGGCAACGAGCAGGAGGCTCACCTGATGGTAAGTGATCACCGCCGCCCATGGACATCTGCAACAACAGAGGGCTTACAAATGCCCTTATTGGGCCTCGTCTTCTAAATGGTGCAGTGCCGGTGCAATTAGCAGAACATCCTTCATGAGCGTAACATACTGTCTGTCTGGCTATTGACGGTATGGGCAAGCTCTTCGAAAGAGGGATTGCTAGCTGCATCAACTCGATCTGGGGAGTTCGTCCATTTCAAACTGGGACTTCCACATACCATTGCCCCTCCCCCAATCCGTTGGCAGGAAACCCACAAAGGATTTCTCCCACGTAAACAAAGGCGCTCGGGGTATCACTATCGTGGATGATGAGGATGAAACTGGTAAAAATAATGAAAAAAAAGTGGATTTAGATTAAATGTAAATGGCAAAGTTATAAAAGAAAGTTTATAAAGTTGCAAATGAGTTTCTAAATGTTTTAACAAATATACCCTTTGAAACTACTAGGCATTTGCAACACTGTCCTACAAAGGCAGCAACATATCTGGATAAATATGTTAATATTTCCATTCCAGATTTTAAGTTTTGCCACATAGGTCCGAATGATATTATTAAGACTTTTAAAAATTTTAATAAAAAGAAAACTGAAGACTTATGGGGCGTATCAATATGGGCACTAGATCTTATAATCATATTGCTTGTTTATTAGTCCAAATATTTATTTTATGTTTAGATTCTTGCAAATTTCCAAAATTAATGAAATGTAGCAAAATTGTGCCAGTTTATAAATCAGGCTCAAGAGAAAATTCCTCTAATTACCGACCCATTTCTATCTTACCAGCCTTAAGTAAAATATTTGAGAAAATAATGCTGGATCAGATGCTATTTCATTTTAATAAATATGAAATTTTGACTCCAAGTTGCAATGGGGAGCGCATATAGATAAATTAGCTAAAAAGCTCAGCGCTGCCGTCTTTGCCATACGCAAGATCAGGCAACTAACAAACGAGGCAACAGCTAAATTAGTTTATTATGCTTACTTTCACAGTATTATGTCTTATGGTGTCTTACTTTGGGGTTCCGCATCCGGTTTAGACACGATATTTGTATTGCAAAAGCAAGCGATACGGGCTGTCTATGGCCTGGGTCCACGTGAGTCCCTTCGGCATATTTTTACAAATAAACATCTTAAGGCGGGAGCCTTACTCGCTATACATACAGAACATTATGTATGTACGAAATAACATACACCATTTTACAAAAAAACATACCACATCGCTTCGGGGCCGTGGTGACACGTTAGAAATACCGAGGTTTAGACTAGCTAAAACCAGGAAATCGTTTCTTGGTACATGTATTAACTTATATAATAGAATAGGTGACATCCACAAACAATTAAGTGTAAATAATTTCAAACATTTTGTAAAAGCCACCTTAATGGAAAGGGCTTATTATAATGTCGAGGAATACATTGAGGACAAGGATGTGTGGAAATGACTCTTGCTCTGCACTTGCAAGTCCCCTGGCTCCTGCTAAATTATACTAAAATAATTTTGTGTTTTTTATATACTTAAAAAAAAATATACATATCCCCCAGACCGCAGAGTTTCTTGCCGGCTCTTCTCTTGCAGGTCTAGTTAAGTGAGCCGATGGTAGTTTTTGACGTTCAATAGGAGCTTAAAATAAGCCTATATTGAATAAAGAAATTTTGACTTGACTTGACTTGATGGTTGCGCACGTAGGCCACTACACCTGCGCCTGCACCGTGCGTACGTCAAAGTCAGTGGTGGCATTCCGCTGTGCCGAAACACCCGTGTGTGGCCCTAAAGGACCTGAGTCATGGTAGGTGAGGGTGCGCTGTCGCCTCGCCCGCTACCTCCTGATGACATGGCCTCCAAGGTTCTTAGACCGGAACTCTCAACACCTTGCCTTGGGCTTGCATAAAACAGTTGCTCCGGTTTCATTGAGTACCTCTCTATCTGCGCCGAATCATCGGAGCCAATCTGTCTAACCGTGGTGAGGTGTACCCGTGTCATCCACCGATCCCCGTTGAGATATCCACCGTTCTACAGAGGTGACGTTTGGAATTCCACAGGGAGGTGTAAGAGCATCTCCTATAGAACATAGGTTGCTTAATCATTGGGTTCTGCGTGGGTATGTTCACCGGGCCGCTATTCTCACCACAACTGGAGTGGCGCGCGTGGTGGGACGCATTCGGCAACTGGGGCTAGAGGTGGCGCATCTTAGGCCCTGTGTTTCTTTGGGACTCGGCGTGCGTCACAAGCGAACGCCCATATAATAATATAAGGGGTCCGTGTTGACATCAAGCTGACAAGACTTGTCCTGGATCGTCGATGGGATTTCATTCCCCACTCAGAGCGCTGAGCTCCAAAAGAGACAAAAGCAGTGGCAGCTCTCGGAAGTCTGCTCCTAAACGTTGGCGGCCCCAATGACTCCTGTCGTCGCTCATACACCCGCGTCGTGAGGAGCATGGCCCTTAACGGCGCTCCTATCCGGGTCGATATCCTAAATTGCCAAACCATGGTGCTTCTGCACAAACCGCAGAGGGTGATGGCTAAACGAGCAGTACGGGGCTACCAGACAATCTCCGTTATGACGGCGTGCACGTTGGAAGACCCTTTGACCTGGAAGCTGGTATGCTCGTGTCATTGCACTTGGCGCGAGGAGGCAATGGCCATGGGCCACCTGCTGGCCTCGCAGGACTTGCAGGGACGAAGACAAAGGTTGCGCTCATTTGCTATCACCGAGTGGGAGCAGAAATTGAAGCACCTCAGGACTGGCGTCACGGCACCCTCAACTACCTGTTTATTGTGGACGGCTGGGGAAACAACAACAGTGGAACAGGCCACCACTGCGACGTATACGCTGAAGAGACGACCTTAGACTGATCGGTTTATCGGCCCCGAAACCCCTACATACTTTTTTTTGAACGATTTCACGAAAATCGTTCAGCGGTTGCCGAGATTCAGATACATACATAGGTAAATACAAGAATTCCTCGTTTAAAGGTATTAGTTATTCTTTTGCGAACCAAAATGCAATACAATACAAAATTCATACTTGTCTTCTTCTTCTTTTTCTAAGGCAGTTTCCAGTCCATATGATATCGCCAATGACACAATAATGATAAAGAAACAAATGGTTTCAAATATCTAAGAATATCTTTTTATTTTTTTGCCACGTTTTTATAATGAAATAATGAAGAGAATGATTCTATGAATATTTAATGTATTTATTTTTATATATAGAGTATGTAAACAAATTTACATTATATTGTTACGCAGCCCTAGTATAAGGAATCTGCTGCGTTGCAACGGCATCGGACTCCAACGCGATGGCACGAGGCACCGACTCAGCACAATGCATTTGCGTCATAAATTCTTTACCTTATTTCGAAATTGTAATCGACCCTCATTCTGAATTCACACATCGAATTAGAGTCACCTTTCTTAGTTATCATTTTATTGTAATATTTTAAAGTAAAATAAATTATATTTTATAAGAATTGCTTTTTTCGGCAACCTCTGGCTGGAGCCCACGTAATTGGCGCAGTCGGTAGGATCTTCAAAGTAGAGTCAGTTTATCAAGATTGGCGCAGAAGATCCAGAACCTACGGGTGCATCAGTCCAGAGACGAATCCAGGCATCGATTCCGCGAAGAAAAGTAATGCAGTAAGTGCTTGAATCTTTCAATCCTTACCTGTCCTATTTCCATAAGTATTTTTTTTTACATCCCTAATCCTTTTATAAATTGATTCATTGTAGTTCTAAGTATTATTTTTTTTTTTATCTTGTGTCTTTTACATTTTTCCAATTAATTTAGCTTCCAAGATTTTCCATCCAAGGAGAATTAGGAATATTAGGTTAGATAGTTATAGTAAA